GTCTAGGGTTAGCATAAGGTTTAGGGTTATCCTTAGGGTAATGGATAGGGTTAGAGCTAGGGTCAGGGATAGGGTTATGCTTATGATTTGATCTAATGTTAGGCTTAGGCTTAAGTTTAGGGCTATGGTTAGCATTTAGGTTAGCTTTAGTGTTAAAGATAGGATAGGGCTTGGATTAGGGCTAGGTTTTGCAATAGGTTAGGGCAATGGCTAAATTAAGAACTTGTTATTATTAGGGCTAATTTTAGGGTTAATGTTAGGGCTAGGTATAGTTTTAGGGTTAGGGTGATGTTTAGAGCTAGGTTAGTGTTAGTGTCAGGGACAGTGTTCAGATTAGGATTATGGTTAAAATTAAAGCCAGAATTAGGACTAGGGTTAGGTCTAGGGGAAGAGTTAGTGTTTGGCTCAGACTAAGGGTTATTATTAGGGCTAGGTCTAGGTTTTTATTTATGTCTAGGGCTAGAGTTATGGCTAGATTTAGGATTAGGTTTAGGTCTAGGGTTAGTGTTATAGTTTGGTTTAGAGTTAGGTTCAAGTTTAGACCTATGATTAGTGTTAGGGTCAGAATAAGGGTCAGGGTTAGGGTTAGGGATTGGGTTATGGTTATAGCTAGAATGAGGGCTAGAGTTAGGACTAGTAATAGGGTTAGGGTTTGGGTTAGGTTAAGGATTATGGTTAGAATTAGGATTAGAATTAGTGTTAGGTTTTGGCTTAGGGTAAGGGATAGAGTTAGAGCTAGGGTTAGGGCTAGGTTTAGGGTTAAAGTTAGGTTTAGAGCTCAGATTAGGGCTACATTTTGTGTTGGATTAGGGCTAGGGTTAGAGTAACAGTTAATGTAAAAACTAGGTTTTCAATTAGGGTTAATTTTATGGTTATGGTTAGGGGTTAGACCTCTAGTGTTAGGATTAGTTTTAAGGTTAGGGAGATATTTAGAGCTAGTGTTAGTGTTAGGTTAGTAGTAAGGGTCAGGGTTAGTTTTAAGGTTAATGTTAGGACTCAAATTATGGCTAGGGTTACTCTAAGTGTTTGGTTTAAGGTTAGGATGGTGTTTAGAGGTAGGGTGAGTGTTAGAATATGAGTCAGAGTAAGGGTTAGTAATAAGGTTAAACATAGGACTTGAATTAGGGCTAGGGTTTGGTCTAGGTGTAATATTAGGATTTGGTTTAAGTTAAGGTTTAGTATTAGGGCTATTGCTTGGTTTTGATTTACTGCTAGAGTCAGGAATAGGGCTTGTTTTATGAGTAGTGTTAGGGTTAGGACTAGTTTTTATGTTAGGCTTAGGCTTAGGGATAGTGTTAGAATTAGAGTTAGTGATAGATCTAGGGTTCCATCTAGGAATAAAACAGGGCAAGATTTATGACTAGGGTTAGAGCTAGGGTTAAGTTTATGGTGATGGATAGGGATCAAACTAGGGATAGAGCTAGTGTGAAACTTAGAGTTAGTCTTAGGGCTAGGTGAGGGTTAGGAATAGTTTTAAATTATGGCTACAATTAGGGCTAGGGTTTTTGTTCAGCTTAGGCCTAGCATTAGGTTTAGGGTTAGGGTTAAGTTTAGAGTAAGTATTGGCATTATAGCTAGGTTTAGAGGTAGGGTGAGGGTTAGAATTAGGGTTAAGCCTATGGTTAGGTTTAGGGGTATGATTAAGGCTGGTTTTAGGGCTAGGATGAGGGCTAGTTTTTTTTTTTTTTTTTTTTTTTTTTTTTTTTTTTTTTTTTTTTTTTTTAGTTTAGGGCTTGGATGATTAGGGCTAGGACTACTATCAGGTCTAGGGTTATGGTTAAAGATAGATTTAGGGTTAGGTTTATGGATACAGGTAGTTTAAGTAGTATGTTTAATTTTAGGTCAGGTTTAGAGCTAGGGGTATTATTAGGGTCAACACCTTGGTTAGGGTTTGGGATAGGCTATGGTTTAAATTTAGGGCTTGAATTAGCATTAAGTTTAGGGTTAGGGTAATGATAGGTTGAGCTTTAGAGTTTAGGTTTGGTTTAGGGTAATGGATAGGGTTAGGATTAGAGATAGGGTGAGTTTTAGGCCTAGGGTTAGCATTAGTGTTTGGGTTATAGTTATGATGATAGATAAGGTTAGAGCTAGGGTTAGGGCTAGGGTTATAGTTATGATTGGGGCTAGGGTTAGGGTTAGTGTTAGGGTTAAATCTTGAGTTATGGCTTGAATTAGAGCTAAGTTTTGTGTTAAGTTAGTGCTAGGGTTAGAGTTACGGCTAATGTAAGTAACCAGGGTTACATTAAATCCTAAATTTATGTTAAGGGTAGGGGCTAGGTCTAGTTTTAGGTTTAGGTTTAGGGTGAGGGTGATATTCAGAGGTAGGCTTTGTGTTATGGTCAGATTCAGGGTCAGGGTTAATTTTTGGTTCAGCTTAAAACTCAAATTAGGGCTAAGTTTAGGGTTAGGCTTAGGGTTTGGTTTAGGTTAAGGATTAGGTTTAGGGCTATATCTGGGAATTTTTTTTTTTAGGGCTAGGGCTAGGATTAGGGCTAGTTTTAGAATTAGCATTAGTGTTTGGGCTAGTGTTAGGTTTAGGTTTAGGCTTAGGGTTAAAGTTTGATTTAGAGTTAGAGTTAGATCTAGGTTAGGGCTAGTGTTAAGGATAGGAATAGGCTTAGGTCTAGAATTATTGTTCCAGTAAGGAATAGGGTTAGAACTAGGGATGGGGCAAGGGTGAGAGTTAGAGTTAGTCTTAGGTCTAGGGTTAGGGCTAAGGTTAGGGATAGATGTAAATTAAGGGTAAGATTAGTGTTAGGTTTAGGGCTAAGATTAGGGCTAGGGTTAGTGTTAGGTTTAGGCCTAAGGTTAGGGTTAGGTTTAGGATTAAGGCTAGGTTCAGGGCTCGGATAAGGGCTGGAGTTTGTGTTAGGGTTAGAGCTAGGATTACGGCTACTGCTAATGTCAGATCTAGGATTACAGTTGGGGATAGATTTAGAATGTTTTATGGCAAGGTCTAGTGTAATGGTTAGGTTTAGGGTAAGGGTCAGGTTTAGAGTTAAGGGAATTATTAGGGTAAGGTTCAGGGTTAGAGTTTGTTTCAGGTTAGGGTTTAGGGTTATGGCTCTAATTAGCTTTAGGGTCAGGGTTAGGGTAATGATAGGTTTTTGTTTAGGGTTCAGTTTAGGTTTAGGGTAATTGATAAGGTTAGGGTTAGCAATAGGGTTAGGGTTAGGTCTAGAGTTAGCATTAGGGTAAGGATTATGGTTAGGATAATGGATAGGGTTAGAGCTAAGCTTAGGGCTAGGTTTATGGTTAGAAATATGTCTTGAGTTAGGGTTAGGGATTAGGGTTAGATCTAGATTTATGGTTAGGGTTATGTTTAGTGTAACAGTTTGGTTTTGAGCTGGGTTTAGGGCTAGGGTGAGGGTTAGGTTTAGGCTTAGGTCTAGGATAAGATTACAGCACAGTTAGGGTTAGGGTTAGGGTTAGGGCTACGGTCATCATTAGGGGTAGTGTTAGGGTTAGGGTAATGGATACGATTAGATGTAGGTTTAGGTTTATGGTTAGAGTTAGAATTCGGTTTAAGCTTAGGTTAAGGCTATTGTTATGGTTATGTTTGTGATAAGGGTTAGGGTTTGAGCTAGGTTTATGTCTATGGTGAGGGTGAGGTTTAGGGTTAGGTCTAGGATTAGGTTTCTGGTTAGGTTTAGGGTTAGGGTTAGGTCTAGGGTTATCAATAGAGTTAGGGTTATTTTTAGGGTAATGGGTATTTTTAGAGCTAGGTTTAGTGCTAGAGTTAAGGTTAGGATTAGGGCTATGCTTAGGGTTAGATTTAGGGATAGGTGTAAGTTTATATTTAGGGTAAGGTTTAGGTTTTGAGCCAGGGTTAGGACTAAGGTGAGGGTTAAGGTAGGGTTAGGGCTATGGTTTGTGTTAGGGTTATGCCTAAGGCTAGGTCTAGGCCTAGGATAAGATCTAGGTTTTGTGTTAGGTTTAGGCCTAGGGTTTTGGCTATGGGTAATATAAGAGCTAGGGTTATGATTAGGGCTAGTTTTAGGGTTAGAGTTATGGCTAGGTCTAGTGTTAGGTTTAGATGTTAGTTAAGCTCAGGTTTAGAGATAGGTTTATTGTTAAAGGTAAGGTCAGGGTTCAGGTTAGTCTTACGGTTAGGGTGAAAGCCTGAATTAGGACAAGGTTAGGTTTAGGGATACGGTTAGTGTTCGTTTTAGGTTAAGGGTTATTGTTAGGGCTAGGACAGAGTTTTTGTTCAGGTCTAGGGCCAGAGTTATTGCTAGATTTAGGATTTGGTTTAGGTTTAGGGATAGTGTTAGGGTTAGGTTTAGGTATACGGTTACTATATGGCTTGTTTCAGGGTTTGGTTTAGGGTTAGGTTCAGGTTTAGGCCTATAATTAGTGTTAGTTATAAATGAGGGTGAAGGTTATGGTTAAGTTTTGGGTTAGAATTAGAGCTAGAATGAGTGCTTGTTTTAGGACTAGAAATAGGATAGGTTAAGGATTAGGATTAGGACTAGGGTTAGCATTATGGATAGGGTTTGGCTTAGGGTAAGGAATATGGTTAGGGCTAGAGTTAGGGTTAGGTTTAGGACTAGTATTAGGATTAGGGTTAGTGTTAGGGTTATGGTTAAATCTAATGTTAGGGCTCGGATTAGGGCTATTGTTGTGTTAGGGTTAAGGCTAGAGTTAGGGCTAAGGTTAATGTAAGAACTATGTTTACAATTAGTGTTAGTTTTAGAGATGGGATTTGGGCTGGTCTAGGGTTAGCATTAGCTTTAGGGTTAGGGTGATATATAGAGCTAAGTTTAGTTTTTGGCCTAGGACTAGAATTAGAGCCAGGGTTATGGCTAGTTGTAAGATTCAGATTTGGTTTAGGTTAAGGTTTAAGCAATGGCTCGGTTTTGTTTTAGTGGTAGGACTAGGGTTAGGGCTAGTTTTAGGATTAGTAATGGTATTTGGGATAGTGGTAGGTTGAGGTTTAGGCTTAAGTTTAAGGTTAGATTTAGAGTTATGGTTAGATTAGGGTTAGGGTCATGGCTACGATGAGGGCTAAGGTTAGGGCTAAAGTAACGGAAAGGGTAAGAAATAGAAATAGGGGGGAAGCCCAGGCCGCCCCGGGGGCGGGGGGGAGGGAGGGACGGAACTAGAGGCCTGCCAGGCTCGGGGTGGGGGCGCCCTGTGAGGAACGGGCGGGGGGGGAACTCGCGCTGAGGAGGCCTGGACCACAGAGTGGGGGGCCTTCCTCCCCCCCCCCTGTCCCGCCACTGGGCCTCGGATACACAGCGGCTGCATCCGACCAGGAAGGGAGCAGCTCCTAGCGTGAATCCCGATTCTCCTCCGTGGGGACTGGTGCCCTGCGCCCGGGAGGAAGGCGTCGCGGGCGCTCTGCGAGCCAAGTTCGAGGCGGGGGAGGCAACCTCGGGCGCGCCCGGCTTCTCCGCGGGGGGGGCGGACGGCGGTGCCCAGAGACCTCGGCCGCCCTGCGCCAAGCCACACAAGGAGGCCGTGGGGCCGCCGGAGTTCGAGAGCCCGCGGCCACCGCAGCTGCCCGGCGCTGAGGGCCCGGCCGTCAGCGACGGAGAGGAGGGCGGCGGCGAGCCGGGCGCTGGCGGAGGAGCTGTCGGAGCCGCGGGCGCCAGGCGCTGAGACTTCGTGGAAGCCCCCCCGCCCAAGGTGAACCCGTGGACTAAGAACGCGCTGCCGCCGGTCCTGGCCACCGTGAACGGACAGTCCCCTCCAGAACATTCTGCTCCAGCCAAGGTGGTGAGGGCAGCTGCTCCTAAACAGCGCAAAGGCAGCAAGGTTGGTGATTTTGGAGATGCAATCAACTGGCCTACACCTGGAGAGATAGCCCACAAGAGTGTGCAGCCACAGTCTCACAAGCCTCAGCCTGCCCGTAAGCTGTCACCCAAGAAGGACATGAAAGAACAGGAGAAAGGAGAGGGGAGCGATAGTAAGGAGAGCCCGAAAACCAAATCAGATGAATCAGGGGAGGAGAAGAATGGGGATGAAGACTGCCAGCGAGGCGGGCAGAAGAAGAAAGGGAATAAACATAAGTGGGTTCCCCTGCAAATAGACATGAAGCCCGAAGTTCCCAGAGAGAAACTTGCCTCATGCCCCGCTCGCCCACAGGAGCCGAGACATACACCTGCCAACCATGGGGAGATCAAAGGGTCTGAGCCTGCCACCTACATGCCTGTGTCTGTGGCCACCCCCACCCCAGCCTGGCAACCAGAGACCAAACCGGAGCCTGTCTGGCACGACCAGGACGAAACATCGACCCATTTTGACTACCAATTTGGCTATCGAAAGTTTGATGGTGCAGAGGGGCCTCGAACCCCCAAGTACATGAACAACATTACCTACTACTTTGACAATGTCAGCAGCACTGAGCTTTACAGCATGGACCAGGAGCTGCTCAAAGACTACATCACGCGACAGATTGAGTACTACTTCAGCGTGGACAATTTAGAGCGAGATTTCTTCCTGAGAAGAAAAATGGATGCTGATGGTTTCCTTCCCATCACCCTTATTGCTTCCTTCCATCGTGTGCAAGCCCTTACCACTGACATTTCACTTATTTTTGCGGCCCTCAAGGACAGCAAGGTGGTGGAAACTGTTGATGAGAAAGTCCGAAGGAGGGAAGAGCCTGAGAAGTGGCCTCTTCCTGGTCCCCCAATAGTGGATTATTCCCAGACTGATTTTTCCCAGCTTCTCAACTGCCCTGAATTTGTTCCCCGCCAGTACTACCAGAAAGAGACGGAGTCGGCGCCTGGCTCTCCCCGTGCAGTCACCCCAGTGCCAACCAAAACGGAGGAGGTCAGCAACCTAAAGACACTGCCTAATGGCCTGTCTGCCAGCCTGCCTGACCTGGATTCTGAGAACTGGATTGAAGTGAAGAAACCATAAATTATTGATAGTTTGTCTGGATTACCAAAATCACTCTTCAGCCCTGCCCTTGGCTGATATGCCGCAACCCTGATCCCCACCCACAGCCTCTTCTTGCTCCCCCCCAAGCCAACTATGCAGCCCACCAGAAGGCCCTGTGGGCCCTGTTGCCCAGCACTGTCCCGTGGAAGGCTCTGACAGCGCCTGGGCCCCAGGAGCACTAGCCCCTGCCTATGTGGGGTTTGCCATCACCGTGTTCTCTCCCTGCTGTCCCTACCATGCCCTTCTGCCATCTTCTGGGAGAAGGAAACCAAAGAATCTAAAAGTGGGGGTTGGGGGAGGTTTCAGCCTCTCCCACTCCCCTTTCCCCACACCCCTTACTCCCCAGCCCAGAGAGACGCTGCTCATACCAGAAAAGACTATTGAAAGATGATTTATTTTATTTTTCTCTGACCTTTCCATCCTTGGAAAAACGGAAAAAAGAAAAAAAAAAGACAAAATAGACCATAAAAAAAAAAGAAAAAAGAAAAAAAAAATCAGAAAACCCCCACCTAATCCATAGAAAGTGATGTCTTTCCCCTCTCCTTGGAATTTTTTTTGTTTGTTTTGTTCTTGGAAATAATATTTTTTTTTAAAGTTGCCTTATTGTGGAGCGGGAATCTGAAATAATACCCAAATGCCTGTTTTCCTCCGTGGAGTCAACCTGAAGAGCTCCTACCTTCTATGGATGTGCCTGGGCTTGGACTGGCTGGATCTTTCTCTGGACTGAGTTGCATGTACAGTGCCTCCTGCCTGGAGGCAAGAGAGTTGGGGGCGGCTGTCAGAGCCGTGCCCAAAATATCCCTGCTGTTGCATCGTTGAAGCTGACGTCCTGTGTCTGTACACTGCTGCCACTTTCGTGTCCTTGCTCTGCTTGCTGTTGCCTCACGCCAGGCCCCATCCTGCCGTGACACCCTTCATCCTACCCTTGGAATCCCAAGGCCAAGTTTGCTTCAAACTGTTCGAAAACAGAGTTGGCCTGGATCTGGAACACACTTGTCCTCAGCCCGAGCGTCTTCCCCATGCCAGAGGGGAAAGGGGAACACCTGGTAGCTGAGGCTTGGATATGTTTCTCACATTGTCCTGAAACATCACCGAGACCTCAAGGAAGTTTTATGTCTCGTGAAAGGTGGAGAAAGGTGCCGTTCTTTTCCGAGGGTCTGGTGGGGTCTCCCCATCTTGCATCCCCCCCCCCTCTGCAAGCCATCTCTGCCCACCCTCTCTCTGATCAACCCCAAATGGGAATGAGACCCCGCCTGGGAACGAGGGATGAGGAGGAATTGGGGGCTGGGGGGAATCCTGCCAGTTGGTGAAGCCCTGTGGCAGGAAGGTATATGTGGACATAGAGTATACCTAACTTCTCTTCTCCAGCCACTGACTGCTTGAGTTGGGCTGTGAATGACAATGGAATGGCTGGAGTCTACTGTCATCAGAAGCTAGGGAGGGTGACCGACTGACCCGCACAGACTGGGATGTGTGTCAAGTACGGGCATGACTGCATGTTCACCCCCAACTGGGCAACACGGAGAAGTTTGCAGTCTTGTTGCTCAATTACTGAAACTTCGTTGGCCCTCCTTTTCAACAGGTTTCTCTGTTGGCCCAAAGGTTGGGAATAGGAGACAGTATCCCAGGCTGACAGGGGCTCACTTGCCCTCTGTCTTTGGGTACCTCATTGCTTTTAGTTTGTGTGCCCATCTCACTTCCTGTGACCCAGTCGTCTTGAACCAAGGATCAATGTCTGGTCTCTGCTATGACAATGGGATCTGAGGCCTCTCCCTAACCAGTCTGGTGTGCCTGCCCCACATTGTCCCAGACACTGGACTCCTGGACCTCCTTCTCCCTCCCTTTCCCCCTTTTTTTCCTTTGGGTCACTCAGCCCTGTATTGTATCCAGCACCACAAAAACCTCAGTGTTTGACCCTTGCTGGGTTTGGGGACACAAGGAAGCCTTGGAGGTGGGAAAAGGCTGCTCTCGTCTAGTTACTCCCAGGCCAGGGGCTGCCATCCTCTCCCTGATCCTCTCAGATATCCCTGAAGGAGGAAGCACCTTTGGGGTGAATAAGTGAGAACTTCATCTCAACATAGGCTGAGGAGGGGTGAGGGGCTATTTTCTTTAATATTTTCTTTCTTTCTTTTTCTTTTTCTTTTTTTTTTTTTTGTAACATGTTAGTAGTTAATGTTGCAAAGAGTAGTTTACATCTTCACTTTCTGAAGACACTTGAATTTAGGACCGATGTATCTGTGACAAGTATGAGTGGAAGGGGCCATCAGGACTAGCCACTTCACATCCACCACCTTCCCATGGGAATCTTCAGACCTGAGACACAAAGCAACAGCCTGCCCCAACCCCCTGTTTATTCTCTGCCCTTATAAGGTTGGTCCACACCAGAATGACCTGTAGGTGTCAAACAGAAGGTCTGTGTGTGCCTAAGCCCTGATGAGGGACAGGTTTTTCTTGTGCCCTCTCCAGAACCTGAGATACATGCACTATCAGTAGAGAAGGCTACCCAGTCCTGCCTCAGCCTGGACCCCTAGGGCTCAGAACGACAGCAAAAGGCACTGAGCCCCCATGTCAAAGTTAAATGTTTTTGTTTCATTGTAGCTCTTCCCCCCCCCCTTTTCTGATGATTGATTTACAAAAGAAAGTAAGCTGCTCAGGAGGCTCTGGAAGTGGGGTGGATGAAGCAAGAAGACTAGCCTTTGGGAGAGCTAGGGGTGTTTTGCCAAAAGCCTGGGTAGAGTGGTCTGGATCATCTGGCACCCTCCCAAATGGGAACCTCAAAGTACCTCTTGTGTGGAAGGGTTCCTGGATTCTCCCCAGCCCCACCCTCTCCTTCACCCATGTTGATGGCAGAGGCAGAGAAGATAAGAACTTACAGCCCAATTCTCACTGGAGAGGAAAACTTGTCATCTGGCTTTGCGAAGAAAGTTCCACCTTACGCTCGTAGTACATTATCTTTACCATGTGCTAGGATATCACACTTAAAAGGACAAAAAAAATGTAAAATACTTGAATGAGCTTGTATTATAACATTAATATTATTGAGAGTATCTGCTTTCCAGGCTGAAGTGATTCATTCATTATTCTAGTCCTGCTTTAGTCCTTTGTAATTTGTGGTAATTATGCTTTTCTTTTTAATACAAAAAAAATCTATAAAAATAAAAATTTGAAAAGGCAAAAAAAAAAAAAAGAAATAGAAATAGGGCTAGGGGGACAGTGAGTTAGTCTTAGGAGCATGGTTAGAGGTAGGATTAGGATTAGGGCTAAATTAGGGCTAGGATTAGTGCTAGGGTTAGTGTTAGTGTTAGGCCTATGGTTAAGGCTAGTGTTAGGGTTTATGTAATTGTTAGGATTAGGGTTAGTTTTAGGGGATGTGATGGGCTTATATTTAGGTTCAGGGCTCGGTTGAGGGTTAAAATTAGGGATAGAGCCAGGGTGAGGGTTTGGATTAGAATTAAGGCTAGGTTTAGGGCTAGGATGAGGGCTAGGTTTTGTGTTAGGGTAAGGGCTAGAATCAGGGCTAGGAATAGTGTCAGGTCTAGGGTTATGGTTATGGTTAGGTTTATGGCTAGGGCTAGTGTAAGGGTTAGGTTTAGGGTAAGAGTCAGGTTTAGAGCTGGCTACATTATTAGGGTCAAAGTCCACATTAGGGTTTACTTTAGGTTAAGGTTTAGGGTTAGGGCTCAAATTAGCATTAAGATTAGGGTTAGAATAATGAATGGTATTAGTTTTAGGGTTCATATTAGTTATAGAGTAATGTATAGTGTTAGTTTTAGGGATAGTGTTAGGTTTAGGCCTAGGGTTAGCATTTGGGATAGTCCTATGTGTGTGGTAATGGATAGAGTTAGTGCTAGTGTTAGGGATTGTGTTAAAGTTAGGATTAGGATTAGGGTTAGGGTTAGGCCTAGGGTTAGTGTTAGGTTTAGGTTTAGGTTAAGTGTTTATGGTTAGGGCTAGGGCGAGGTTTAGTATTAGAATCAGGGCTATGGTTAGAATTAGGATTAGAGTTAGGGCTATGGTTAGCATAATGTTAAGGTTATATTTAAGGTAATGGATAGAATTTGAGGTAGGATTTGTGCTATGGTTACAGTTAGGATTAGGGCAAGGGATAGGGTTAGGGTTAGGTTTAGGGTTACATTTAGGGTAAGAGTTAGAGTTTGAGCTAAGGTTAGGACTAGGCCTGTGTGAGGGTTAGGCCTAGGGCTAAGGTTAGGATTAGGTCTAGAGCTAGTTTTAGTGCTACATTTAGGGCTAGGTTTTGGGGGGAGGTTTATGGCTAGTGTTAGGACTATGGGTAACATAAGAACTAGGATTATGGTTATGGCTAGTTTTAAGTTTGGGGTTATGGATAGGTCTAGTTTTAGGGGTATGTTTTGGATTAGGATAAGGTTTAGTCAGAACTAGGGTTTGTGTTAGGGTAAGGGTCAATGTTCAGGTTATCATTGGATTTATGGTTAGGAGCACAATTTTACTAGGGTTAGTTCTAGGGGTATTGTTAGTAATTGCGTTAGACTATGGTCATATTTAGTGCTAGAGCTAGGTTTTGTTCAGGGCTATATCTAGAGTTATGGCTATATTTAGGATTAAGTTTAGGTCTAGTGTTAATATTATGGTTAGGTTTAAGTATAGGTTTACCCATAGGGCTAGTGTTAGTGTTTGGTTTAGGGTTAGGGTCAGGCTTAGACCTAGGGTTAGTGTTCGGGTCAGAATATGGATCAGGGATAGACTTAGTGTTTGGGTTAGGGTTAGAGATAGAATGAGGCCTAGGGTTAGGACTAGTAATAGAGTTAGGCTTTTGGGTAGGCTAAGGATTAGGGTTAGGACTTGGTTAACATTAGGGTGAGGGTTGGCATAGGGTAAGCGATAGGATTAGAGCTAGGGTTGGGTTTAGGGTTAGTGTTAGCGTTAGGTTTAAAGCTAGGGTTAGATTAAGGATAGGTTTTTTGTTAGGGTTAGGGTATTGCTAATGTAAAACCTGGCAT